CATTTAAAGCTAATAGGGGAAAGCAAAACCAAGGTGTGAGTACACAAGGAAGACCTTGACGAGTTCCAAGAGTGTAGACAAATGGCTTCTACAGTTCAACCCCAACACATGTAGGGTACTGTAGATGGAAGAGGTGACAGAGACTAAAATAAATATACATCATAAGGAAAATGTCAACTTGAAGAAACAAAAAGCAAACGACTTCAAAGAAGCCAACATTTCGGCATTAACACAAAGTACATAAAAGGGAAGCTGGCAAAATAATAAAGGCTTACAAAAGTAAACAAAGACTCTTAAAAAATTTACACAGCCTATGTTTGACCAGCACAGTATGGCATAAAATGACAGCATTGGCACAATTCACACATGTAGCTTAAAAAATGGCTTGAAAAAATATCAGGTTTGCAACAAGGTTAGTACCTAAATTAAATTGGACTGGAAACTCCAAGAAAGGTTTCCAGAAAGTTTAATTAGCTCTCAAAGTATGTAGCAGAATGGGATATTACCACCATGTATAAAATACGGAAAGAAATAGACAAGGACAAGGACAGTCTCTAAATTGAGAGTAAATAGGACAAGAGGACAATGGTGGAAGTAGGAAATGGAAATGAACTGAAAAACCCAAGGAAGTACTCATACTTGTACGAGTGGTTAGCAAATGGAACGTGTTGAAAAAACGTAATGAAAGACTCTATCATCCACAATATTAACAACAATAAAGTAAAAACAAATTTATGTGGAATTTAGAATGCATCTGCTAAATCTCACTCAGGACACCAATAGGTAGCTCTAACCATTTCTGACCATCTTCTGGGGCCTAACTCTCCTCCTACCTTCAACTTCTTGCAGACACACACTCACTTATCCACAATCATCATCCATTCTCTCAATATAACCAAACACACTCAATATACTCCCCAATCTTACAATTTGCTAGCTTATACTCCCCATTTTTCATGAGATTTTATTTCATACTCTATCCTCCTAATACCATAATGCATTTCAGACTTCCCATTCAGGCAACTTGAACTCTCTTGACATGCACACACCTTAAGTCTCTACTAAACATAGGGCCTTATGTCTTATCTGCCTCGCTCCATCTTTACCCTTCGTAATTAGGGCTTTCACTGAATCAGCCACTTTTCTTCCTTGGCTTGTTTCCCTCTCAAACTCTCCCGCACAAAATACTTTTAGAACTTATAGAACCCCGGTATTTATAAGACATCTGTTTACTAATACATCACATACCACACTGCCACCTCATTTCACCACCATAGTGTATTACTTTTTATTTGCATTTGCTTTTCATTATTTTACTTTTTGTTTACATTTACCCTTCATTACTTTACTTTTCCTTTACATTTTCTTTTCATAACTTTTTTTTTATATATTTACCTTTGGTTTACCACATGCCAAATAAACTTACATCTACTGTACAGAATATCCCTATCATTCTCGGTTAGAATAACTTAATATGTAATATGCGACCCACCAAATCGGGTAACAACCAGGTACCCATTTTACTGTTGGGTAAACAGAGGCTACAGTTAAGGATTGGCACCCAGTTAATCCTCCACGGCCAGGATACGAACCCAGGACTAAGTGCTCGCGAAACGCCAGGCGAGTGTCTTGACCACTACACCACGAGGACCACCATTTCTTTCTATCCTACATAATTGCATTCTCTTTTTTAGTACTATATTCTTACTTGGACACATCTCAAGACCCCATTCATATACTGTATACATATATCAACCACATGGGGGGGGGGGCATCAAATAGCCATTGGTATGATCTTCCATTAGTATCAAACCAGTCACACGTTACACCATGAACTACATAAATTCTGCAGTCTGCTGCATACCACTGAAGGAAAATTATAGCAGATTGTGTTATACAATAGTAATTTGGCATGTTTGGCTACACAGTTTTGAAATGTATGAACAATTTACACAGCTGTTTATTGTGATGGTAAGTTCTTTAAATGTAAATGTTCTCAAATGACTGCTACATTGCATGACAAAAAATTTTATTGAAATACTGCAGTTCTAGGGAGCATGGGCTGATCGCCAACACTCCCTGCAAATCGTCAACTCGTGAGGTGTGTAATTTGAAGTCTATCATATAACAAAATGACATTAATTTTTAATGATATTTTTATATATCTACTATATACATGCCTCACCTGTGACAGGAAAAAACATGCTATTTTTGAAAAACAGCGCCATCTGTTGGACGTAAGGGCAACACACGCTGTAATCTCCGAAAGTTCTTCACCAATTGCTTTTAAATTTTGATACAACGTTGCATTCGAATAGACGCATCCTTTTATATGCCTCTTATATAGATGCCACCCCTGTGACAGGTAAAAACATGCATTTTTGAAAAACAGCGCCTTCTATTGCACATAATGGCAACATGCACACTATACTAAATATATCGCGAATTCCATTTCAGTGTTTCCGATTGTATTGATAAATTTTATTTTCATACATTTCGATTTATTTTATTTTTTAATGAATTATTTTGTGACATTGTGTTGGAATTGAGCTGTGTTGTTAACCATACCGTTCATTTCGTAAGTATAAATGCCACACCTGTGACAGGTAAAACTATACTTTTCTTGAAGAACAGCGCCATCTATTGCATGGAAGAGCAACACACATGTTATACTAGATATGTTACAATTCCATTTCAATGTTTCTGATTGCATTGATAAATTGAATTTTCCTAGATTTTGATTTAATTTTGTGTGAATTGTGTTGGAATTGTGTTGTTTTTCCAGACCATTCATTTCGTGAGAGTAGTTTATTTTTACATTTTTTCATATTTTCATTTCATTTTTTTAACTGTTTTCCTTATATTACAGTGATAGGAACATCAGATCACTTGATGTTCCCAATTTTCTGATGGGAACACCAGACATTTGGGAAGGCATCGAACGAGGGAGTGGGGAATGGTTGGGATGATGAGGGGACAGAAGTGAGAGATGGTGGGGAGGACGAGGGGACAAGGGAGGGGGGTAATGGTGGGGAAGGATGAAGGGACGGGGGAGTTTGGGATGGTGGGGACAAGGGGGGTGGGGAAATGGAGAATGGTGGGAAGGACAAAGGGACTGAGGAGTGGGGCATGGTGGGGAGGACAAAGGGGCAGGGGAGTGGGGCATGGTGTGGAGGAAGAGGGGATGGTGGAGTCGGGAATGGTTGGGAGGCCGAGGAGACGGGTGAGGGGGGAATGATGGGGAAGACTGGGGGACAGGTAAGGTTGCTGTAGCCGGGTCCTGCTAGTAAATAATATAAAATGAGAATATAAATCTAGCTTCAAGTATACAGAGCAAAATATTAAGGTACAATCACCTTCCCCCAAATAATATTTGACATCAAATTGCCAAACTAATCTCTAAATAAGCCAAACAACCAGTAACAGTAAAATGATAATCTACCGAGGTACTGCTCCCAAGTGGATGCTCAATTACGCTCAAAAAGCTCTTTCTGATCAAAGCTTCTTAGAAATGAATGAATGTACAGTAATGTTAACACATGTGACTGCAGCAGTGAACATCTCCAGCCCAAGGCACACAAGTTTACCATCGGACACGAGAGAGATGACCTAGCATCACCAAGGACAAGCAACATTGGGCAGACGGTGGGCCGCCAACTCAAAGCAGGATTGCCAAAAGCCCTACGTCCTTATACTGGCAATGACATGCTAGGCACTAATAAGTATGGATAATTGAGGTCAATCTATATAATGCAACCAGAAACTATCTAGCAATACAGGGCAAGGCGTTCACCAGATGAAAACATCCTACAATCCCACATGGTAAAGAAGATTAAGAAAACATACCAAAGCCTGGGACAAAACCACGGGTCTAAACCAACAAGACAGCAGACAAAACCAGAAAGGCTGAATACTGAAATCTATTTCATCATTCTTCAGCAATGACTGAACAAGACAAAAACAGCATGCAAGGAATGAAAAATAAACACAAAGCTCCAAAAATATCATGTATCAACAAAAGCAGCCAAGTGGCATACAACTGGGTATTCACTGAATCCCTTCAAGCACAGCCCAGACATGGAGGCCCAGGTGGAGAAAAGTGAATAAGGCAAAAAAAAAAAACACCCACTCACCAGAAATAATCAAGCATTAAAACAGTATATTCCCGTGAAGCCAGGCAGCAACCACACACACACACAAGAGAAATGCCTGGTAGCAGGAAGATTAATAGACCTCCTCACCTCTGCTCTATATGCCAAACTGGCCTACCAGACACACTTATGTTAACAAAGACACTTGTGGATTTGAAGAGCCAGTAACAGCAAGGCAGAGTATCACCAGCCAAGCATTCAACAGATCAGTGTAACCATCTGAACTCATCTGCCTCTCCATAACAGGGAAAGCCATCCACAGACAGAAGACCAGGCTCAGGGGTCAAACTAGCACACACTAAAATATAGCCATGGAGGCTGAGTAATGAGAGAGAAATTTAAAGGAAATTATATCTTGGCTTTCTAATATAAGACAGCCTTCAATTCTGCCCTATTGGGGCAAATATGGTACACAGTACATTACATTGGTACATTGCGTACACAGTACATATAGCTACTCATAAGAACACATTATGCACATACTTCATGCAGTATGGGTAATCCAAGATCTATCCAGAATTAATTAGTATATCTAAATACTCGATACTCGGCATACTGCTACAACTTAGTAATTAAAACCCAACTACAGCTCGGGAAAGTTACCAACATAGGGTTACAAAGCTCAAAATATATTGTGTGTGTGTTTGAGGAGATTCCATGGACAAATTTAGCATAACCACCCAAGTATTTTAGGTTTAAAATAAAATCAGTGAGGTACTTCCAAGACATCACCTGGAAATGGAGCATAAAAGACTGGTTAAACCTGTAAGACCCCCTGCCAGAAACACAACAATAAGTTAATAACATTCTGATTTGAAAACTACTTCAGATATATTTAGTTGAAGGAATTTACTGTACCTCGTACTCTTGAGGGACACTTTGTATCTGAGCCTTTCCCTTGGGACTAGTGGCCAAAACCCTCGGCTTCTTTTTAGGTGGTGGTCTCACAACCTTTTTCTCAGCCTTTGTTTTCACTTTGCGAGATCTTGTTCCAGCAGGAATGACTTCCTCTGCAAGGGGAAAAGTTTTGATTACAAAATACATACATTTTAAAAATAGTATGGTAAAACATTAAGATAGATTTGACAAGAATGCCATAAATTCCAAATTGGTTATGAAAGAAAATCGTGAACTGCAAAACACAACTCTAATTGAGCAGATCAAAGTCCTCCTAGACCACATTTATTTTAGTGGAAGCTCACAACTGCAGAAAATATGACATACCATACAGAGCACCTTCCCCTTATGCAAAATAATACACTAACAGTTTTGGTGACTTGAGTAGTTGTGGATATAGTTTTTTTTTTTTTTGGTAAGCTGCCTCAATTATTACTTTCTTCCTAAAGTTGAAAACAATATTAAAGAAAAACACAAGTTATGATTTGGTGCAAACAGAAAAATACACTATTATTATCGATAAAAAAACAGAGTACTGCACTAGTATTAGGCCTGAGTAACAACCCTTTTTCCCCATTTAACTCATTCTTATTTTCACTCAATGTTTCTTATTATTTATATATAAAAAATTACAATTCTCCTAATCTAAAGGAGGAGGAAATCTAAAATCTAGAGCATTTCTGAATAGCAAAAGATTCTATTTTATGCACAGCTGGTAACCATTTTGGCAGAAATGGGCAGAGCCTTGCAGAGCACAAAATGTTTAATGTTGATTGTTCCAATATTCAGACATAATGCTTAGATGTTGAACAAGAAAGTAATTAATTACACTATTGTATGGTATTTCATGGCAGTGTAATACTGTATTTAGATGATGAGTCACAATAATGTGGCTGAAGATATGATAACCAAACCACACATCAGAAAGTGAGGAGGAAACTCTGTTGTTTCGGCCCATCCTGGACCATTATCAAGCCGTGTGGCTTGATTAAGGTCGCATGATACCTGCTTGATGGGGTTCTGGGAGTTCTTCTACTCCCCAAGCCCGGCCCGAGGTTAGGCTTGACTAGTGAGAGTTTGGTCCACCAGGCTGTTGCTTGGAACGGCCCGCAGGCCCACATACCCTCCACAGCCCAGCTGATCCGGAACTTCTCTTAGAACTTGATAATGATCCAGGATGGACAGAAACGTTGCCATTTCTTCATTTTCTGATCTATGGTTTGGTCGTCAGTGTAATATTCAGATTGATATGCAAGCGGATATTCACTCAAGCATCTGCGACAGTGTCAAGCTGAATTGATTCAAAATAGAACTAAGAAAATGGGTAAATATGGAATTCTGTGTATGAAATACTGTACTTTGATCTTCATCCAACTCACTATAAGAGACTCTAATTGTCTTCCACGTCTCAATTATTCTTTGTTCGTCCTCATCTGGCCGCTTCTTTGGGGCCATTGCATTCTGTACAAAATTAATGCAAAAATTAATTATTTTAAGTAAACAAGTTTAAGCTATTAAGCAGAGTACAGCTGCTTATACTACTCATTAAAACAGTCTTAGTACATCCTAACATTAATATTTAAACCACACAACTCACTCTAGTATCTGATAATTACTTTGTATTACCATCATCTCTGAAGATGATGCTAGAGTCCAAAGTAAACCACCCATTTAGACACTGGTTCACCGAGACTTACAATTTATACTAATTTTCTGCTTGTGGACCAATTTCAACAGGTTAAGAACATTAATTTTTGAATACAAAAGTTTGGGAAATAATTATCTCTTAAAAACAAAAATTAAAATAAATGCTTGGAGAAATTGATAGACAAATGTTGGGTATGCATAGTCATTCTACAGTGCAAAATAATTTATGCTTATATGGAAATGTGTGCAAATGATAGATCTTAAACTATAGAAAGATAAAAAAAAAAAAATTTTGAATAATACCTTTGCAATACACTTTGAAAGTGAAGTGTTATTTAGGAGCTAAGCCACTAACTGTATTCAATGCAATGTGTTAAAGGTTTACAATATACTGTACTCATTTTTAGTTTACACAAAGTGTTATCATAGAACACAAATAATAGTGAAATAATTTGAGAATAATTTAAGATTGCATAATGAACTAATACATCATTGCAAAATGAAAGCGTTAATCTTACACGGCTTCAATCGTTATCTGGGATTTCCTCCCATGCTCTACAATTGGTACCTTGAGGTTATCTTGAGATGATTTCATGGCTTTTTTAGTGTCCCCGCGGCCCGGTCCTCGACCAGGCCTCCACCCCCAGGAAGCAGCCTGTGACAGCTGACTAACACCCAGGTACCTATTTTACTACTAGGTAACAGGGGCATAGGGTGAAAGAAAATCTGCCCAATGTTTCTCGCCGGTGCCTGGGATCGAACCCAGGACCACAGGATCACAAGTCCAGCGTGCTGTCCGCTCGGCCGACCGGCTCCCCTTGAGGTAGCTCCGTTACCTGCAATATCCTCCTGTGTTCTACAATTGTAATCTGCAATCTCTCTGTGCATTACAATCACTATCTGCAATTTCTTCATGTGCTCTACAATCTTGTAGCTCACTCTAAAGATTATTATTATCCAATTGCTAGAAAGCAATTGTATATTATTCCTTTCACTATGACACCCTTTCCCAGCCGTCCCCCACCGAGTATCAAAATGTAGCCTAGGCATATATCACTTAAGAGCAGAGAAAGGGTTAAGGAGGATGTCCACTAACAATAGCTGTGCCTTACTCTCAGTATCTTGAAAAAGTAAAAAAATAGTAATTATACAAAGAGCAAAAACTTTTTTCACTAACTGTACTTACTTTGTATTCAGATGTTCTTCCAGAGATTTCAAGAAACTCATTTATAAGGTCATCACAGCTTAGCTCTGAAGCAGGTAGCCACGTGTCATCTTTCTCTCCATAACCAAGCCAACGAACACGGAATTTAACTGGACACTTCCAGCGTCTCTTACATTCCATGTCAACAATTTGCTCAACCTGAAAGTAAAAAATAAAGTTATTTAAAAAAATGGGTAAAAGACCGAAATAGTTTGACAAAATATTTAAGCGTGTACGAGAAGTAAGTAATTATCAAAGAAAGCACCGGGTATGAGAAATGCAAACAGACAGAGAAAAACTAATAATGAGAGCAAAAGTGTAAAAACTAATGGAGCAGAAAAATTATACAGATCCAGAAGACTAATATTGTAATAACAAAATGGACAATGAGGAATGATTTAATATAAAAAAAGTACAGCTCGGAGTGCTCGGAGTCTGGGAACCTTGGGAAAGTAAAGTTCTGTAGTCATCTGGTTATTCTGGGAGGGTCACAGCATTTCTCGTGTCAACCTAGCACCTTGACCATTAGACAGCAGCATGCAATTTTTTAACAAACTGTCCTGCTTCCATACACTCAAACTCATCTTAATACATTTAGGGATGGAAACAGTCAGCTGATTTATGGTTATAACCCTCATTGACAGATGTCTCGGGCAGCAAAAATGCATTAAAGATAACTCCATTATCTCTGTGCTCAGCCTATCATCACAGAGCATGTTCTTTACCCTCTCAATCCATATTACTAACATCTTGGAGAATACAGTATATGTGATGAAAGTGATATTAATAATTATACAAATGATTCCCTGCTGATGTGGACTGTAACAGTTCGGAAAGTTGCAGCAAGAGCAATGAAAGTGAGTATTGTGGGAAGAGAGGATGGAATGGTGTGGTGTGGGTGATGGATTCAAGGCTGCAATGCACTAGCATGCCCAAGTCCTCATTGCCCTCCAATCAGCTCATCAAGACTCACCAGGAGCTCATTATGACTCACGTGCATACCCATGGCATAGGTTTAAGTCTTCATCATGATTCCCACTGATTTTCTCGTTTAAGAAACCTGACCCAACTGCCATTATGAAACAAGCTATAAACTACAGTATTCCAAGACAAACATTATTGGACAGTGAGAAGAGGGAGGGAATGCTTACCTATCATTGATATGGGGAAGCGAGACCTAGCTCTTCATACCCTGCCTTGTGGCCGTTAATACCTTGCCCACTAATGACCTCTCTCAACACTACCATTTTCCTCGTATCTTATCTTAAAGGTGTGGATGGTATTGACTTATATAACCTAAATGCTTTTGGTTCAATAATATTTATAGTGCATTATCCCATATATTGTATACTGGATTGTGTTTTATTGTAAAAAAACATGTTCATGCATATAAATTTGATTAATATTTTTTTTCAGGTATGTATTTAGAAATGTGAGATTTTTTTAAATATAAATATATATATATATGTCGTACCTAGTAGCCAGAACGCACTTCTCACCCTACTATGCAAGGCCCGATTTGCCTAATAAGCCAAGTTTTCATGAATTAATTGTTTTTCGACGACCTAACCTACCTAACCTAACCTAACCTAACTTTTTCGGCTACCTAACCTATAAAGATAGGTTAGGTTAGGTTAGGTTAGGTAGGGTTGGTTAGGTTCGGTCATATATCTACGTCAATTTTAACTCCAATAAAAAGAAATTGACCTCATACATAGTGAAATGGGTAGCTTTATCATTTCATAAGGAAACAATTAGAGAAAACATATTAATTCAGTAAAACTTAGCTTATTAGGCAAATCAGGCCTTGCATAGTAGGCTGAGAAGTGCGTTCTGGCTACTAGGTACGACATATATATATATATATATATATATATATATATATATATATATATATATATATATATATATATATATATATATATATATATATATATATATATATGGGGAAGAGGAACCCTAATCAGCTAACTTATGTCTGTCTAAGGATGACAAAATGATATCATAGGGATGTTTCCTAAGAACCACACAGCACCAGAATATTTTCCCAACTGAACAAGTTACACAATATTTCCACCCCCAAGGTATATACCCATTTTAGTTCCTTTAGTGTAGATTTAATCATGTGTGTGTGTGGAAGCTGCCATTCCTCTCAAGATGGCTACATCCAAGAAATAAAGCATGTCATCACTCTCCATCTCCAGAGTAACACTAAGCACAGAATTTCACTCGTAACCTTTTAAACTACATACAGTATAACAACCAGGGGCTTTTCAGTGGTGGTGGTGCACATGTCAATCAAGGTCAATTTTAAGTCTAGTGTAAGATATAAAACTCCTGTAGGTACAGGGGAGGTGACATCAACTTCCTCAGGCCTCCAGTAAAAAGATGCCATCTAAGACAGGAGGCCGGCAGCTTGTCAGAGGTCCCCCCCCCCCCCCCCCCGCATTTGCCCTATTGATTTTTTCCAGCTGGATTTTAAAATTTAACATTTTCGCATTTACGGCTTTGGTGGGTATGCGGTTCCATGGGTTTATAACCCTGTGGGTGAAAATGCATCTCCTACTTTGAAGCTCGTTGAGCTTGAAACCATTACTCCTTGTTTGTGTTACATATGCCCTTTTAAAGAAATTGTCTGTGATATAGAAAATAGAATACATATATAGAAGTGTTAAAATTGTGATATAGAAGTTCCCGACAGTGATAAAGACAACCAGTATGTACAAGATTCAGATATCGGTGTATCTATGCATCATGTAACAGGACCTCATGTTCCTTTAAAAATGGTAAGACACTCACCCAACGCTTCACAAGCTATTTGGCCTGGGTTCGTATCCTGGCCTGTGAGGATTGACTAGACGCCACTCCTTAACTGTAAGCCTCTTTTCACCCAGCAGTGAATGGGTACTTTGTTGTTAAACGATTTGGCAGGTCGTATTCCAGGAAAATTAAGATCAAGAACCTCCCCGTAACACCATGTGTTAGTGGCTTTACAAGAATGTAAGAACTCGTGTATAAATATATCTGTGCTCATCGATGATCTACAAGTTCTATGATAGATACGAAGAAAAGAAAATACTGTACATTCGATGCGTGCAGTTACAATTTGGTGCAAAATATGCAGGGTTATACACATATGTTGTGTACAATGTAATAATAGCAAAATAGTATGTTTTATAGTTCAAAGAATATACTAATGTGGGCATATTAGTACAGTAACACTAAAATATTTGAATGTATTAATGTTCTGCAAGTTTCATTATAAAAATTTCTCAAATTTCTGAAAACAAATCAGTGACACTGAAATAAATCGGTCTAAATATATTCACAACTCCCACCGCACGCCTGGCCCAGGCAACCTCCTTGGGGCGTCTGCTCCATGAATACCCATGAATCGGTGACATCACCGCAAGATTTTATCACTCCAAAACAGCCACATCAATTGTTTGTATGTATGTATGTATGTATATATATAAAAGAAAAAAAATTCTATGATCAGGTAATGCATTTTAATAGCATTATAGTAGAAAGAAAAACTGAATTTATTCTTTCCTTGTGCCCCAGGGTGTTGTCATATAATACAGGTGTGCAGATGTTAGTTTCTATATGCAGTAGCAAGTGTTTCCTGTCAAATACCACCTCTTAGCAGATATCCTCAACATACTTTCAGTTAGACATTAGGTTTAAGGTCAAGGTCAACTAGGACTTTATATTTCTCTCTCAGTGGTACCCCATATACAAATTCACATACGGGATGATGAGGGGAAACCCCACGATGACACATTTTATATTGGGGATCAGGAAGGGTGCTTTGTTGTGCTAGTGTATATTCAGGGATGTAAACAGTTGAACATTATGCCAATACTGACCAGTATAGTCATCCAAGATTATGTAGGTGAATAAGGACTCGACATCTAGAGACATTATTGCAGATGCCTGACAACCTTGCAGCAAGTCAATAGATTCCTTCCAAATTAAAACTGAAAGAACATGGCACACGGGGTCAGCAACATGATGAATTGCTGAGTCAGCCATTCAGTGTGTGGATATTGGCTGATGATCAGACACAACTGTTTACCAAGTTTGTGGACTATATAGTCCCATCAACTTATCCAAGCTTGTTCTCTTCATGTTAAATCTGAGTGGACGAGATTCATTTTCACATTGTATTTATCCACTTTGTGCATGACATATTAGTAACTAGTCATATCTTCTGACAACTATGTACTTATCACAAGTGCCATTAGTTGCCACTTTCAGTTTGGGAATCAGTACTGTATGGCATTTTTGTCAATGACATTTCCTTCCTCTGCCAAAAGGTTTGCTTCTAATGTATGCCTTAGTGGTGACTTTCCTGTGAATGGCAGTCAAGTGTGTCATCAAGCAGGATCTCCAGCGCTACATTCCAAGCCATCATGCTTTGTCAAGGCCTAATGCAAAAGTATGTGAATTTGGCTAAATGTACAGTACTGTATAAAGAAAACAATTAAATTAAAACATCCAGAATCCTTTGCCCAGACATCTGGCTACCAAAAAAAAAAAAAAAATTTTGGTCTATGGCTGAAGCCATTTGATGGAGATAGATGGAAATGTCATCCAATGCATTAGATCTAAAGCTGTCAAGAATAATTAGTTACTATTCTAAATTTAGTCACCATTATAAGTGATATACAGTACAGTATCAATAGACAAGAAAATCCATTTAGAAATAACAAATTTAGGGCATAATTTTGGTTCCTATATTTTGCAAATAAACTACAGACCGTGGTGCATATGCTTATTCCTTGAATTTGTGATGATATTCAAAATACTGAATTGAGAAAATGTTTTGCTAGGTACTGTATTGAGTTATTTCAACCATTATTTGATATCACAAAATAGAAAATAAAACCATTCTTTTTAAATAACCTTTTATACCAACTACAAGTCACATTTTCAATAATTTGTCACAGTACAGTATATAGGAAGAACGTACCATTTTCTTCCTATAATGTAATACAAATTGAGATCCCCCCCCCCTCACACCAAAAGATTGTATTTATAATGATATTCAATCTTGGAAACACTTATGGATTGATAATGAATTACTTGGACCAGATTCCCTACAAGTACAGGCATTAGAAACCAAAAACTTATTTTCATTTTAATTTTGTTTTAAATAATACCACTGGAAAGAGCAAGTCACTTTCTTTTTATATGTACAGTATAAAAAAAAGTCCCATACATACCGAAGGAAAATACAGCGCCAAAATGGAAGTGCCACAGTGAAAGGGTTAATGCATGTTAACGAACACTGTTGCCGATGCGCTAAAGATTTATATAACATAAAATAGTTAAGTATTAAAATTTTTTTTAATTTCCAGCAAGTGTTTCAATGAATCCTAACACTATTCGTTTCTTCGAAATCATCCACGGCCTGATAAGTGTAGTTATATTTGTCCTGAACTCTAGCATTTCCAAACATTCATGTCTACACTCGACACAGACTGTCGCCCACATACTGTGGCACTGCATAATTCAACGCTATGTTATGTGCCATGCCTCACTCAAGTGGCTCTTATTCAAGAGGAGCACCACACCACCCTGTATTGTTTACTGATGGCTTGATAAATTTTCTATCATTCTTTTTTCCTCTTCTAGCTGAAATCTATGATTAATTCAACTCTATATGAATTTTGAGTTGCTATTTACAAGGTCCTAATACTGTATTCTCATTCATTACCACAGCTACCACTCATCCTTACCATGGAGGGTTAAAGAAAGTTATGGCATTGTACCAAACAGTATTTTGAAAACAGTACAGTACACTACTTGCATTTATGATCCTCTATTCGTGTTTCGTCTTACACTCCAACTAGGCTTATTTCCTTATATTACTGTACATGACTAAGCTCAAGTACCTATAAGATTTCCTCATCAACATTAGTTTTTTTATCATTAACTTTGCCCATGAGAATCTTTCCATCTGACCAAATGGCTGTCTCTTTCAAGTTCAACTGGACCATGTACTTTTCCCACACACCATTGTACAAGCTCTTTAAATCTTGATACTTTGCAAGAAAACATTTTTCTTCCTCATTCCACGTTTTTATCTAATATTACCCTTCCCTTCCTTCGTATTACCTACAATTAAATGTCTCATCATCCTTCAGAACTCTTGACTGTCCATAGTACTGTGCAAATCGTACTGTATTTGTCAAAATTATTTACTGTATTCTAGTTCACATTTTCAGATTCACATACAAGACATCGTCTCTGATGTTTAACTCTTCTACTTGCACTATGATTATTTATGTCTCTTCATACAATGAATTTTTCCTGTATAAATCACATGTCTCATTCAACCGTGTTCAGCAACAACTTAATGTTTCTGATAACACCATTTCCTATTTCTTCTACATCTTCCATTGTATTTATGTTTTGTGCTCCTTTTAAAAATATCTATGATTATCTTATCTTTTGTTAATCCTTTGCATTTTATTTTATATTCCCAAATTTCTACTGTGACCACCTTCCTTTCTTTGCCCTGTACACTACAATCTCTTGAGCCTAATTTTCCCTTCAAAATTTCCTCCAATTGTACTTGATCATCACTACCTCTTGCCTTAACATATTTTTCAGGTAGAATTCCTCTATCATTGACTCCTGTCCAGCAATTCTATTCTTAATCTTACCTCATTTTGATCATCCTCCTTTTGTTTCTCTTCTACTTTTCTTTTCTTGCTTCGTGATCCTGCTTTTGCTGCTTTCTGTGAGTCAAAACCTTCGAATTCCTCCTCACTCAGTGGCACTTCCCCCTCCTCTGTCGGCTTTCTCTTGTGTGGTTTTGATTCGTCCGTGTCCTCCTGCTGAGACGCCATTGTAAACAGACTGCTGCTAGCGAAGTAGTTTGTCTCCCAAAAAAATCTCTTTTTTTTCTGTTATTTAGTCTTTCTAAATTTTGTATTGTATATTTTACTTCCTATTTACTCAGTTGTGATCACACACTACCTGCCAACCCCTTACGGCCGACCAGCAAAATCCCACCTATCACGATACAATATTGCATTATCATTTTAAAAGTTATCTAATACAACTGACAAAAACAAATTTATTTGCTCATTCATCATCATAATACCAAGCTACACTGTCTATGGGCTGATGTCTCCCTACCCATGAAAAATATAGCAAAAGCAATTGAAAGCAGTATCAAAAGCATTTGATACTATTCCTCACAAAAGGCTAATGTGCAAGATAAGAGAAGCAAGCTGGGATAACTGGGAGGACACTGAACTGGGTAAGGAAGTATCTGAGACAAGAAACAGAAGTCAAAGTCAGGAAGAACAACTTGGGCTGGAAGAAGCAGTTACGTCACTCAAGGCTCAGTCCTAGGTCTCTTGTGGTTACTGTGAATGGCCCACCTGAGGGAGCACTCTCATACGTGTCACATTATCAAAACATTTAAAGCTAATAGGGGAAAGCAAAACCAAGGTGTGAGTACACAAGGAAGACCTTGACGAGTTCCAAGAGTGTAGACAAATGGCTTCTACAGTTCAACCCCAACACATGTAGGGTACTGTAGATGGAAAGAGGTGACAGAGACTAAAATAAATATACATCATAAGGAAAATGTCAACTTGAAGAAACAAAAAGCAAACGACTTCAAAGAAGCCAACATTTCGGCATTAACACAAAGTACATAAAAGGGAAGCTGGCAAAAATAATAAAGGCTTACAAAAAGTAAACAAAGACTCTTAAAAAATTTACACAGCCTATGTTTGACCAGCACAGTATGGCATAAAATGACAGCATTGGCACAATTCACACATGTAGCTTAAAAAATGGCTTGAAAAAATATACAGGTTTGCAACAAGGTTAGTACCTAAATTAAATGGGACTGGAAACTACAAGAAAGGTTCCAGAAAGTTTAATTAGCTCTCAAAGTATGTAGCAGAATGGGATATTACCACCATGTATAAAATACGGAAAGAAATAGACAAGGACAAGGACAGTCTCTAAATTGAGAGTAAATAGGACAAGAGGACAATGGTGGAAGTAGGAAATGGAAATGAACTGAAAAACCCAAGGAAGTACTCATACTTGTACGAGTGGTTAGCAAATGGAACGTGTTGAAAAAACGTAATGAAAGACTCTTCCATCCACAATATTAACAACAAATAAGTAAAAACAAATTTATGTGGAATTTAGAATGCATCTGCTAAATCTCACTCAAGACACCAATAGGTAGCTCTAACCATTTCTGACCATCTTCTTGGGCCTAACTCTCCTCCTACCTTCAACTTCTTGCAGACACACACTCACTTATCCACAATCATCATCCATTCTCTCAATATAACCAAACACACTCAATATACTCCCCAATCTTACAAATTTGCTAGCTTATACTCCCCATTTTTCCATGAGATTTTTATTTCATACTCTATCCTCCTAATACCATAATGCATTTCAGACTTCCCATTCAGGCAACTTGAACTCTCTTGACATGCACACACCTTAAGTCTCTACTAAACATAGGGCCTTATGTCTTATCTGCCTCGCTCCATCTTTACCCTTCGTAATTAGGGCTTTCACTGAATCAGCCACTTTTCTTCCTTGGCTTGTTTCCCTCTCAAACTCTCCCGCACAAAATACTTTTAGAACTTATAGAACCCCGGTATTTATAAGACATCTGTTTACTAATACATCACATACCACACTGCCACCTCATTTCACCACCATAGTGTATTACTTTTTATTTGCATTTGCTTTTCATTATTTTACTTTTTGTTTACATTTACCCTTCATTACTTTACTTTTCCTTTACATTTTCTTTTCATAACTTTTTTTTTATATATTTACCTTTGGTTTACCACATGCCAAATAAACTTACATCTACTGTAACAGAATATCCCTATCATTCTCGGTTAGAATAACTTAATATGTAATATGCGACCCACCAAATCGGGTAACAACCAGGTACCCATTTTACTGTTGGGTAAACAGAGGCTACAGTTAAAGATTGGCGCCCAGTTAATCCTCCACGGCCAGGATACGAACCCAGGACTAAGTGCTCGCGAAACGCCAGGCGAGTATCTTAACCACTACACCACGAGGACCACCATTTCTTTCTATCCTACATTAATTGCATTCTCTTTTTTAGTACTATATTCTTACTTGGACACATCTTAAGACCCCATTCATATACTGTATACATATATCAACCACATGGGGGGGGGGCATCAAATAGCCATTGGTATGATCTTCCATTAGTATCAAACCAGTCACACGTTACACCATGAACTACATAAATTCTGCAGTCTGCTGCATACCACTGAAGGAAAATTATAGCAGATTGTGTTATACAATAGTAATTTGGCATGTTTGGCTACACAGTTTTGAAATGTATGAACAATTTACACAGCTGTTTATTGTGATGGTAAGTTCTTTAAATGTAAATGTTCTCAAATGACTGCTACATTGCATGACAAAAAATTTTATTGAAATACTGCAGTTCTAGGGAGCATAGGCTGATCGCCAACACTCCCTGCAAAATCGTCAACTCGTGAGGTGTGTAATTTGAAGTCTATCATATAACAAAATGACATTAATTTTTAAAGTTTAGATTCAATTTCTAAATTAACGACAGGAACTGTATCATCGACATATGAGGGTATGTTTTATGGATGACTCAATTTTCATTGCAGTATTTGAAAGCGTGTGTTAACATTTTAAACTCCATATATGCTCAGTACTGTACTGTACTCTTTAAGAGACTTTACACCTATATTCATTTTATCATACGTTTTTTCAACGTGAATGCTTTCTCTATCAGCTGTCGCAATACAAGTACAGTATGTAATCCACATAACCCACCCCACTATGGCACTATTACAGATGTTAGATCTAGATGCTCTAGATATTTCATCCCATAGATGCTTTGCTTCCATTCTGTCTAAATTTGGTGGCCTATATATTACTCCTATTATAATATTATTAGCTTTTTCGTTTAATTCAATCCAAATAGTTTCTGTGTGTGGCTCTGTTTTGATTCCCTCTTTGAGACTACATTTCAAATTGTCCCTAACATATATGGCTACTCCACCTCCTCGTCTAATATATCTATCTGTGTGAAATAGTTTAAATCCATATATTTGATATTCAGCTAATAGTTCTCTATTTTCTACATTCATCCACGTTTCGGTAAGTGCAATAATATCTATTTTTTCTGTGCAGACAAGAGCATTTAATTCGTTAATTTTATTTCTTAGACTTCTACTGTTAGTGTAATATACCCTAAGTGAATTGTTATTTTGCGGACCTTCTCTTTCCCTGATCGTTTTGCCAATTCCTTTCTCCCACAAACACATACTTTTATTACCTCCTTCCTCCAAATCAATTCCCATACCTCTATCTACTAACAGTTTAAACCCAAACAAACACCTCTAACCACTTCTTCTAACGAGTTCGCAACAGCAACAACCCCAGCTCTCGATAGATGCACCCCATCACGAGCATACATTTCATTTCTTCCATAGAAGTGTTCCCAGTTGTCTATGAAAGATATTGCATTTGATTTGCAATATCTTTCCAGCCGGCAATTGACACCAAGTGCCCTCGATATCCATTCATTTCCCACTCCCTTTCTTGGAAGAATGCCACATATGATCGGGATTCCTCCCTTGCTCCTAACTAACTCTATGGCTGTTTTATACCTCTGAATCAGTTCCTCACTCCTAACTTCCACATAACCCACCCCACTATGGCACTATTACAGATGTTAGATCTAGATGCTCTAGATATTTCATCCCATAGATGCTTTGCTTCCATTCTGTCTAAATTTGGTGGCCTATATATTACTCCTATTATAATATTATTAGCTTTTTCGTTTAATTCAATCCAAATAGTTTCTGTGTGTGGCTCTGTTTTGATTCCCTCTTTGAGACTACATTTCAAATTGTCCCTAACATATATGGCTACTCCACCTCCTCGTCTAATATATCTATCTGTGTGAAATAGTTTAAATCCATATATTTGATATTCAGCTAATAGTTCTCTATTTTCTACATTCATCCACGTTTCGGTAAGTGCAATAATATCTATTTTTTCTGTGCAGACAAGAGCATTTAATTCGTTAATTTTATTTCTTAGACTTCTACTGTTAGTGTAATATACCCTAAGTGAATTGTTATTTTGCGGACCTTCTCTTTCCCTGATCGTTTTGCCAATTCCTTTCTCCCACAAACACATACTTTTATTACCTCCTTCCTCCAAATCAATTCCCATACCTCTATCTACTAACAGTTTAAACCCAAACAAACACCTCTAACCACTTCTTCTAACGAGTTCGCAACAGCAACAACCCCAGCTCTCGATAGATGCACCCCATCACGAGCATACATTTCATTTCTTCCATAGAAGTGTTCCCAGTTGTCTATGAAAGATATTGCATTTGATTTGCAATATCTTTCCAGCCGGCAATTGACACCAAGTGCCCTCGATATCCATTCATTTCCCACTCCCTTTCTTGGAAGAATGCCACATATGATCGGGATTCCTCCCTTGCTCCTAACTAACTCTATGGCTGTTTTATACCTCTGAATCAGTTCCTCACTCCTAACTCGACCAACATCATTTCCTCCCACGCTAATGCAAATAATGGGATTGTTCCCATTACCAGCCATAATATCATTCATGTTGTTTATAATATCACCAATGCCAGCTCCGGGATAGCAAACCCTTAACCTGTTCCCCCTATCTCTAGCACAAAACGTTCTATCCAAATACCTTATCTGGGAATCTCCCACAACTAATGTTTGCTTAGGTACTTCCTTTACTTTCTGAGGGGCCTGCGCTTCCTTTCTCTTCGTTGCTTTCCCTTTTGCGCGATCCACAGTCT